GAAAGTGCAAGAGGGGAGATGAAGGACTTTGTGCAACGCCCACGATTCCCATCGCGCCACATGCTTGGGGAGAGGGGCAAGCTGGCAAAGGTAGGAGAACTTGGAGACAGCACGAGAGTTATAAAGCTGGATGGCGACCGAGGGAGCGGCCTGCTGCTTTGTTAACGCGTGCACCACCTCCACCCACTCCCGAAACATCCTCGACCACATCTCCATATTCGCAGCAGGGCCAATCCATACCCCGAGGTACTCTGCCATGGCAGCGACAGGCATGCTTTTCCAGCTCGGGACATGTACTGCTAGCAAAGCTTCGATTGACTTCTTCAATCCTGGGGAGAACTCCGCTTCCAGCGGAACGATGCAGCACTTTGGAATTTTTAATTGGAGGCCCGCCAGGACTTCGGCCGCATAAAAAACACCATGCACTCTCTTGAGAGCCTTGACCTCCGAGAGAGCTAAGCCCACATCATCCGCACACACACCCGCCTCCGAACCTGGCGAAAGAGCGAGGCGCTTCCTGAGGGCTCTCAGGAGGGGATCCATCGAGAAGGCCCACAATGATCCACTGGCAAGGTCCCCCTGCATGGCGCCCGAGCTAATCACACAAAAGGCCAGAAGCTGCCCCAGGATCGGTGTTTTTGCACAGGCGAATGCGTACGTGGCTTGAAAGAACGCCAGGAGACCCGATGGCATTCCCGCGCTGGAAAGCACCTCCCACAGGAAACTGTGAGCCAGAGAGGGGAAGGCATTGCCGAAGTCAGCGAGGAAGAGGATGGGGTGATGGACCCTGGCGACGTCGGTCATCCCTAGAATCCTGGACGTGGTATCCAGGAGGGTGATGTTCTCCAAAAAATTTCTGCCGACCAGGAAGCCCTTTTGGTCCTCCTGAGCCTGGGAACTCAACATTCTCTTAAACTGATAATTACAGACCGACGAGAGCACTTTAATGTCCGTGTTCTTGAGAGCAAGCGGTCTTGTGGCTGCAGGTTCTCTCACCACACACTGACTGTCGTCCTCACGCTTGCCTTTAGGCGCGAAGATTAGTATCACTTCATTCATATCTGTGGGAGGGGGGAAGCCAGCCTGGAGGTAGAGGAGGAGGTCGTAAAGAATCTCTGCAGATAGCTCGTGCTGCTGCCATGCTGCATAGGGGAGGCCGTCAGGGCCTGGAGCGGTGGGCTTCGCTCGCTTCAGCGTCTCCCTGATTTGATTGACCGTGGGGACACTGACATCAGTCCAGTCAAAAGAGACAGCGTGCTGCCCTAAGTACCTGCGGACATGCTGGACAGGAACCTGCTTCCACGAGAACACTGGAGCCCAGTGCTGATGCAACACCGATGTCATCGCCTGCGCATCCGAGACGACAGCACCATCAGGGCCCACAAGAGCCTGGAGCGGGAGGGATTTCCGAACAGGCGCCCACAGTTTGGCACGCCTCCGCTCCGAGTACATATATGCTCTTAAACGTTTGCGCTCCTTCTGTGACTCACTAGCTTTCACCGCCGACTCTGCCGAGGCTAATCTGCGCTCTGAGCGCTGCTGCTGGAGGGCTTCGTATTGACGACGGAACACGACAGCAGACCTCAGACCGACACGACCTTCTCCCTCCAGCATGATATGCTCGGCGGCGGCAGGAGCAGTGGCCAGCAACTTCGAGGCAAGACGAGTGTCGTTATAGTTAACAGCCCTGGCAACAAATCTGTAAATCAGAAGTTTCGAGTCTAGCTCTGGGGCCGAGTGTTTGATCAACGCATCCCTGGACATTCGAGCGGCCTCCCTGAGCAGACGTTTGTATTCACGCCACCGTGCAATAGTTGGGAGAGAGTAGAGAGGGGAGTGAGAGATCAGAAGCGAGAGGAAGTGAGTGAAAGATGGGGAGCTGCAGACATGCCTCGGGAGCGGCTGCTCCTGTGGCGGCCGCTGCGGACGCACAGCAAACGTCACGCGAACAGGCGCATGGTCAGAAATGCCCTGGCTGTGAAGCTCCTCGGGCTTGTCCATTACCGTGGCCGAAATGCACCAATTGATGAGCATCCAGCCAGGCGACGAGGTGAAAAACTTGTCTAGCTGCGTGAGGCGCTCACCGTCATGGACATAGTGCGTCGGCTGCTCAGGGTCCAGCTCCACCAGGCCCGCCAGCGCGTCCAGCCAGAGGTTCCCTCTCTCCCTGTGGCGCGCCTGCGACATGACACCCTTGTCGACCTCGGGAGTGGCCAAGTACATCGCCGCCCTCTCGTGGAAGTTGAAGTCCCCCAAGAGCAGCACAGTGGAGCGCTGCGGGTTCGCTTCAGCTATTTCAGCCTCCGCAGCAATCCTTCTCATCAGCGCCGTCGCCACCGACTCGTCCAGGCCGAAGTTGTGAATGTTGTAGACCACGAGCATGCTATCTTGAGCTCGGGAGCCGTTGGAGTGGGATGCCCTCGCCTTCACCTGGAGGCGTTGAACATAGCCAGGCACGATCACCGTGTGCCTGATGCGCCCCACTTCCACAGCTTCCTCAGCTTCCTGTTGAGAGAAGCCAGGCAGCAGAAGGGCCACTCCACCAGCGTTATGCCGAGGTACCGATGCAAAGACTGCTGCTTTCCTGTGTGCCAGATACACCTCATGTCGAAGCTCCTCTTCTGTGCCGTGAACTTCTTGTAATCCAATCATGGTGTGGGGGTTCATCACGGCTGCCAAACGTCTACATTTCTTTTTCCTGATCGCAGGAAGATGATGAAGAAGGGCTCGAGCATTCCATGTGATAAAAGAGGGAACTCCTATGTCATACTGTGCGATGTCCTCAATCCAGGGCTGCATAATCATATTAAATCTGCCACCGCACTTCCTCTGATGTGTGAAATATACCGTTGAAGCGCGCCAGCAATGTTTCCTTGTCCAGATTCTTTGAGCGAACCGCTGCATAGTTCCAAAGTAACTTCGTCGGGGCGTCCTTCTCCTGTCCGATCTCGAGCTGCACGGCTGGTTGTCCATCCACAAATACGATACCCTTCGTCCGACCATGTCGCACCCGAAGCTCTGCATGTGATTCACGTACCAGACCTGCCAGCTTCTTAGTTTGAATTTCTCGTCTAACCATTTTGTCACTTTTGTCCAAGCCCACGAAAATGCGCGAGCGACCTCCTTCAAGTGTCGGACAGCTGAATTGTCTCCACTCATTGTTCTGCCTGAGAAATCGCCGCGCCTGCTTGACTTTGCGCATCCCCGCATTCGCATCCCCAGACATCTGCACCGTGAATCTTCGACCAGGCGAGTTGCCCAGAACCTTCCATTGATGCTCCTCCATGCCCGCGTCCTGCATCCAAGGCGCCAGCTGTTCCTTGAGAGCGTCCCCCGTGACCATGGCCTCCGTATTCGCGATGAAGACCGTACCATCTGGGTCTCTGTCCCACTCCAGCGCGCTGCCGAAGTCCTTGATGGGGATCGTTGCCTCCGCGATATGCAATTCACGACGTAGTTGTTCCACCTCAGCTTTGACCTGTCGTTGCTCTGCCTCGAATGAATTCTGACGCTGTCGGAGTTCGTCCAGCTCAGATCGTACCTGTATGTTTGTGGTCTCTTGTCGGTCACTGACAGCTTTGACCAAGTTGGCCGTGTGACCGTTGACTTCTGCGATGATGCTGCGCTTGGTCTCGCCCATGCGCGTGTTGATGGACCGCTCCACATCCGACTTGAAAGCCGCCAGCAGCTCGTCGATGTCTCCCCGCGACAGTGAAGAGGATGATTCATCACTGGCCGTCTGCTGCACGTGTGGCCGCTTGGGAGCGGGTGGACCAGCACTGGCTGCAGCTTCGTTGCTCCATGGATCTGCAGCACCTTGCAGAGGGTCCGCAGAGCGAGCACTAGCAGGAGAACGGCGGCCATGCCCAGCTTGACGTTGCCTTTCCTCCTCAGCGGCCGCGGCTCCTCCCGAGCGCGAGCGGGGAGAACCTTCCCCACGGGACGCCTCCCGGACCTGATGTCCACGGGCAGCGGGTCCAGCGCCACCAGGCCGCGAGGAGTGCGCCGAGGCGGACAGGCATCCTCGCGCATCGCGGGCCGGCGGTGGCATCGGCTGGCTCCCAATGGGAGCTCTCGCGGGCGGGAAGAGGGGCCAAGACGGCGTCGTGAAGGAGACGTTAGAAAAGAGGGACTGCTGAGGCAGAGGCGCACACAGCAGGATCGTGAGTGTACCCGAATCGCTCGACAGAGAACGACGGACGGGCCAAAGCTAATCAGAGTCAGCTATGTTACGTTAGCGTCCTCCGTTTAGCCTTGAGCCAAAATGGCTACGGACCTCCTCCTCCTCCTCCCCACTCCTCCTCCCCCCCCCTTCCTCCTCCCCCTCCTCCTCCCTCCTCCTCCATCCCTCATCCTACTCCTCCTCCTCCCCGCCTCTCCTCCTCCTCTCCTTCCTCCTCCCGCCCCCCCTCCCTCCTCCCTCTTCCCTCATCCTCCTCCTCTCCTCCGTACTCCTCCTCACTCCTCCTCTCCTCCTTCTCCCTAATCCTTCCGCCCCTCCTCCCTCATCTCCATCCCCCACCCCCCTCCTTCCCCCCCCCCCCCCTCCCCCCTCCCCTCCCCTCCTCCTCCCTCCTTCCTCCTCCTCCTCCCCCCTCCCTTCCCCTCCTCCTCCTCCTTCCCTCCTCCCTCCTCCCCCTCCCCCTCAACTCTCCTCCTCTCCTCATCCTCCTCCTCCCTCCTCCTCCTCCTCCTCCTCTCCTCCTCCTCCTCCTCTCCTCCTCCTCCTCCCTCCTCCTCCTCCTCTCATCCTCTCCCTCCTCCCCCCTCCTCCTCCTCCTCCTCCTCCTCCTCCTCCTCATCTCCTCCTCCTCCTCTATCCCTCCTCCTCCTCATCCTCCGCCTCCTACATCCTCCTCTCCTTGTCTACTCCTCTTGTCTCCTCCTCTCTTCTTCTCCTCCTCCTCCTCCTCCTCCTCCTCCTCCTCCTCCTCCTCCTCCGCCTCCTCCTACTCCTCCTGCCTCCTCCTCCTCCTCTTGCCTGCGTCCTCCTCCGAGGGGGCTCCAGGGGAGGGGCGCGGCGCGGCAGCCCAGGCTCTCATGGCCTTTCGGGGTCCCCGAGGCGCCCCAAGACGGCCCAAGAAGCGTTCAAGACTGGCCGAGACGCGCCGCCAAGACGCCCCAGGACGGCCCGAGAGCGCTCCCAGACAGCCCAAATTGGCCCCAAGACGGTCCACGAGGCCCCCAGGACACCCCAAGATGGCTCCAAGACGGTCCAAGAGGGCTCCGAGAGGACCCCACAGAGGACCCCACAGAGGCTGGAAACCGCAAATCCCGACGGGGAAACCTGCATGTTTAGCATGGCAGCTCTTTCAGCTTTCGCGGGAGGCGAGACAGCCCGAGAGGCCCCAAAAATCGCACCTCGACGGCCCAAGAGGGCACCAGGAGCGCCCCAAGAGGCTCCCAAGCGGGCCTCAGGAGGGGGAGGAGGACGAGGAGGAGGAGGAGGAGGCGGAGGAGGAGGAGGAGGAGGAGGAGGCGGAGGAGGAGGAGGAGGAGGGGCCCAAGAGGGGCCCAGGAGGGCCCCAAGAGCGCCCCCAGAGGCTCCCACGAGGGCCCCCGGAGACCCCCGATAGAGGGCCCCACGACGGTGCGAGGCCCCCAAGACGCCCCCACGACGGCCCCGAGAGGGCCCCAAAGACGGCCCCAAAGGGCCCCCAAAGACGGCCCAAATGGGCCCCAGAAGGGCTCGAAGGATTGCAAAAAAACACCCTTCGCAGCATGGGGCCACATGCGTTGGGTTTTGTTTGCAATCCTTCGTTCATGCGTGGGTTTTTGTTGCCATCCTTCGTCGAATGGTTTTTTGTTGCCATCCTTCGCAGCAGGGGGCCACATGCGAACCCTACCCCTACCCCCCACGATTTCTGAGGGGGAGGTTGGGGTTCACTTCGCTCGGGAGCTCCCGAACGAAGTGAACCGCACCCTCTCCCTCAGAACTCGTGGGGGGGGGTAGGGGTAGGGTTCGCCTGTAAGCCCCGTCGCAGGACCACCGAGAAGGCCTGGAGACGCCAAATGAGAGAGCGATCGGTAACGCAAAGAGCTCTTCACACCAGGGGTTCCCAACAGCGAACGGTGACGCGACAAGCTCGCAACACCGAGGCTGCCAAAGCGAACGGTGACGTCAACAACTCTCAACACCGAGGCTCCCAGGAGCGAGCGGCAACGTCCAAGTCTCTGAACACCAGGGCTCCCAAGGGAGAGTGGTGACGTAACAAGCTCTCCACCAAGGCTCCCAAGAGCGAAGGGTGCCGTGAGCCATCTCGGGCAAGTTCCTGAGGCGCTCTTTCCGTTCCCGTGCCAGCTCAGGTAACGGAAAGAGCGAGGTACGAGTGATGACGTTCTGGTGGGGCGAAACCCTCCAGGGAGGGGTCCAGGGGAGGGGGCGAGGTGGGAAGTACGTTTGGTTGCTAATGGCCGCCCGGGAGCCGTTCCCCTCGTACATTTTCTAATGAAGCGACTCGCGGGTGCCTTCCATAGCCTGTTTCCTCGTATGTATTCAAATGAAGCGGCTGACGGGCCCCAAGACGGCCCAAGAGGGCACCAAAACGACCCAAAGACTATGATGTTTGCCGTTTTGTTGGGTTCTTGCTTTTTCTAGCCGAGAACGGTCTAAAACGGCCCAAGTGGCCCAAAAATCGTCCCAAGAAGGCCCGGGGCCAAAACGGTCCAAGAGGGCCCCCAGACGTGCCCAAGACGGCCCCCGAGGCCCCAAAGATCGTCCCAAGACAGCCCCAGAGGCCCCCCAACGGGGCCGAAAACGGTCCAAGAGGGCTCCCAGACGGCCCAAGAGGGCCCCAAGACGGCCCAAGAGAGCCCCCAGACGGCCCCAAGAGAGCCCCAAGAGGGCCTCAAGATGCGCCCTAGCGGGCCCAAAGAGGCGGTATGGGGTCTGGGCTGGTTGGGTGTAGGGACTGGGCTGGCCCAAAGACGGCCCAAGAGTCCCCAAACGGTCCAAAATGGCCCCCAATAGATTCCCAAGAAGCCCCAGAGACGCTAAGGAACACCAGGGGTTTCCAACAGCGAGCGGTGACGCAAGAAGCTCTGAACACCAAGGCTCCCCAGAGCGCGGTGACGCAAACAACTCTCAACACCAAGGCTCCCAGGAGCGAGCGGCAACGTCAAAGTCTCTGAACACCAGGGCTCCCAAAAGAGAGTGGTGACGTAACCAGCTCTTACCACCAAGGCTCCCAAGAGCCAAGGGTGCCGTGAGCCATCTCGGGCAAATTCCTGGTCCGCTCTTTCCGTTCCCGTGCCGGCCCAGGTCGAATGGCCTGCGGCCCATCCCGGCACCGTGTCTGGGTGGTGGATGTTCGTCGGGATCTCGTCGAAGCCTGTCGGGAACCTCCTGGAAGCAATTCTTGGGCTGCTGTTTTGGGTGGGGCCTCTTGGGGCCTCGTTTGGGCCTCTTCGGGCCTCCTGGGCGCCTCTTGGGGCGGAAGGCTCGGACTTTCGGCTTGTGGTCCCCCTCTTGGGCTCCTCTTGGGGCCGTCTTGGGCGGCCTCTTGGGCCGCCTTGGGGGCCTCTTAGAATGACTTGGGGCGTCGGAAGCTCAAAAAGTGGAGAACCCAAGAAGCATCGAAAAACCCTACGAAATCCACGATCTTGACCTCTGGGGGCCCTCCTGGGAAGGCTCCTGGAGGCCTCTTGGGACGTCTTGGGACGTCTTCTTCGGTCGACGGGAGGCCCTCTTGAGCGTATTGAGCCGATCGTTCGACCTCTCATCCTCCTCCTCCTCCTCCTCCTCCTCCTCCTCCTCCTCCTCCTCCTCCTCCTCCTCTCCTCCTCCTCCTCCTCCTCCTCCTCCTCCTCCTCCTCCTCCTCCTCCTCCTCCTCCTGCTCCTCCTCCTCCTCCTCCTCCTCCTCCTCCTCCTGAAGACTGCCCCCCGGAGCTCTGGCAAACCTCGGGGGGACCGTGCCGAGGCTTGCCGGGCACTGTTCGCCCGAGGACCCCGTGGGGCGGCCCCGCGCGCGCGAAGCAAAGTGTTCTCAACCTGTTACCGCAGATCTCACCACGCCTCTGGTCCATTGGGCCGGCCAGTTGTTCCTCCTCCTCGTCCTTCTCCTCCTTCGCCTCCTCCTCCTCCGTCTCCTCCCTCCTCTCAAAACGGGACCGTGATCCTGTGCCCGCGTCACGGCTTCTCCCGCGCCGGGTCACGTGTTCACTTCTCGAGCATCTTCTTGTTGAAATTTTCCTCATCGAGGTCCCCTTCGTCGTTGCACTGCATCTCCTTCATGATACCCGTGAGCTTCTTCTTGATGGCGTCCTTAGAACTCGCGTACAGCATCTTGTCCTTCACACCGCAGGTGTCGGGTGACCAGAACACGAAGGTCAGCTTCGACTGATCCCTGCCGTCCTCGGACTTATAGGGGTAATCAATAACGGCGTACCTTGGCTGATCTTCTGGCAACGCCTTTTTGAAGTCGTCGAACGTCTTATCGACTTCCCCTTCCTTTTCGAATTTGATGGTCTTCTTGTCTTCGATACAGTAGATGACGTAACGCAAATCCTTCTTCATCTTGATCTGCTCGAACTTCTTCTGGCACTCGTCGTCGCAAGTGGCACCGGAGGACATGGCTGCGGGAGAGAGCGCACGTCAGGAGGCGCTGGTTGCACCCGCGCGTCAAATTCCACACCCACCCCTTCCCCCTTGAGGGGGAACGCTCTGGGGGCACCAGCCTCGCCAGTGCATCGCCGGCAGATCGGCGAGAGGCCCCCTGAGTGCGAATCCGCACGTTCCTGGACGGACTGGGCCGTCGGGCCCCCTCGGCGATCCATGGGCGATCAGGGGCTGACGCATCCCCACCTGAGCCTACAGTCAAAAACCCTGACAAGGACGCGCGACTTTGCTCAGGGTACCCTTGCGTCCTTGCTCTTCCTTGCTCTTGCGTCCTTGAGGTTTCCGTCGTCCGCCGCCCCAAAAAATCCCAACTTCGGCGTCCAGGGGCCTTGCGTCCTTACCGCGCGTCCTTGTTAGGGTTTTTGACTGTACCCCCCTGATAAGCCTCGTCGTCTGGTCTTCGGGTCATCCCTCGCGTCTCCTGCGGCCGCTCGGCATGCTCCAGGCCCCCCCCCCAGACGCCTCTCGGCGAGGCGCGGCTGCTGGAGCGCACCCCGAGGCTGGAAGACCGCCGCTGCGAGCACGCCCGCCCCGAGCCCTCCCCCCCTAACACTGCTCCCGACGTGAGATCTCTGGAGGTCTCTGGCGCACCGGCGCACCTCCGCGGAGGTCCCCACCATGACGCCCCCGGGGGCCCCCGGAGGCCCGCGGAGGGGCCAACACAACCTGGAGCCCCCCCCTCCTCCTCCCCTCCCTCTCCCCCCCCCCTCACTTTCCCCTCCCTTTCCCCTCCCTTTCCCCCCCCCTCCTCCCTCCCTCACGCCCGCCACCCTGTCACAACGGAACGAATACACGTCGGTCGGAAGAAGTAGGTAGAAACATGAAGTAGAAAGGCGGATGTAGTGGATTGGGTCCAGGTCCTCCCAAAGAATAACAAAACACAGCAAAAGCATGTCGATTCTTGAAGTAGGCAGGCGCTTGAAGCAGATTGGGATCTGGGAATCCAAAAAAACCCTACTTTCAACGACCGGCGTGTATATGTTGAGGGAGAGCGCGGGGGGGAGGAGGAGGAGGAGGAGGAGGAGGAGGAGGAGGAGGAGGAGGAGGAGGAGGAGGAGGAGGAGGACGAGGAGGAGAGGGAGAGGGAGGAGGAGGAAGAGGAGGAGGAGGGGGAGGAGAGAGGAGGAGGAGGAGGAGGAGGAGGAGGAAAAGGAGGAAAGGAGGAGGAAAACGAGGGGGGGAAAAGGAGGAGGAGGAGGAGGAGGAGGAGGAGGAGGAGGAGGAGGAGGAGGAGGAGGAGGAGGAGGAGGGTGTGGTGGGTCCGACGAGAGCCTCCCGCAGGCGCCGGAGGGGTCTCCCAACAGCAGGGGCGCGCGACTACTGGAAAGCCTGTCGAGCTGCGCGCCGGGGGCCGGCGCTCTGCACGGCGGCGGTGCCTCCCGCCGGCCCAGGTGGGTCCTCTGGCTCAAGGGCTCCTAACTTCGCGCTTCGCGCTGCGCGAAGCACGCACAACTTCGCGCTCTCGCGGCGCCCCCAGAAGGGGGAGGAGGGGAGGACGAGGAAGCGGGGGAGGAGGAACGAGGCCCAGGAAGCGCGACGAACTTCGCGCCCTCGTGGGAGCCCTTGCTTTCTCGTCCTCCGAGATGCTTCCATGTGAAAAATGGCTCCCCTCGGCGGTCTTGGAAGGGCTCGACGTCCCCAATAATGCTCCAGGAGGGCCCCAAGAGGGCCCAAAGGTGGCGGGGAAGCGCAACTGTGCTTCGCGTCCTTGGGCCCTCTTGCCCATGGATCTGTCTTGGGGCGTGGGGCGTCCTTGGAGCACTCCTCGGCGGTCTCGGGGAAGCCTGAGGACCCGAAGGCTTTGAAAGAGCTCTTGCCGTGGTCGCTTGCAGGATACCCCCCCGGGTTCGACCAGAGAGGGGGGGGGGCTTCCCTGACTCCGGATCCGCCCTACTTTGGGGAAATTCGTAAGTAGGGCTTGGAATTTCCGCCTTACTTTTCAAGCCCCGCTGATGCCAATTTCCGCCCTACTTTTCTGTTGCTGTTTCCGCCCTACTTCTGTGGATGTCCGCCCTACTTTATGTTGGGGCAGAAATTCCCGCCCTACTTTTTCGGCTTCTTATAGGTGGATTTCCGACGCAATTTCAAATTGGAAGAAAGCCAAAGTAGGGCGGATCTGGAGTCAGGGGGGGGGCTTCCCTGAAATAGTTCCAGACTCCGAGTCCCCGGTGGGCCTCCCGCCCCCCTTCCTGGCGGCGGCGGCAACTCTGCGGCAGTGGCCACGACGGCGACGACGCTGGCGACAGGGGCCCAGCACGCGCAAACGGGGACCACGGCGATGGCGCCGACGACGGGCGACGGCGACGACGACGGCGACGGCGACGGCGACAGCGAAAGGCGACAGGCGACAGGCGAAAGGCGACGGCGACGGCGACGGCGACGTCGACGACGATGCCGACGTCGGCTGCGACGACGACGTGGACGACGAGGAGGAGGACCACCCGCCCGATGTGGACGCCCCATCATTGAATGAATGGTTCCTTGATGCCCCAATGGCCCAATTTGGATGGCCCATCGCTGACTGCAGGTTTCGCTCAATGTCCCGCCCGCCCGTCGTGTTTTTTTGGCGGTTGCGATCTATTTTCCCACGGCCTGTGCCCAACACGGAGCGAAGGTTCCAGATGATGTCCCGCCCGCCCGATATGAACGCCCCAACACCGAGTGAGTGGTTCATTTTTATGTCCCGCCCACCCGAACGGCGTTTTCGGTGGTGGTGATCGATGTCCCCCAACTGTTCACTTCGCAGAGTGCGGGCTGCATTACATGACCCGCCCGCCCAATGGGGACGCCCCATCACTGATGAAAGGTTTCATTCGATGTCCCGCCCGCGTTTTTGACGGTTGTGATACACGTCATTCATGTCTAACTGAGTTCGTTTCTCATTGTTCCTGGCCCCCTAGTGGCCAGGAAAGGCCCAAGATAGAACAATTAGAAATGAAAAAATCTTGCCCCCGAAAAAAAACTTTCGAATTATAGCCGGAGTGCAGTATCCCAAAACAGGGTTTTTAAACCCACTGCGGTTTCCAAAGTCGATTGCGTGCCCGTCCAGTGCGGGCTGGCATGGCATGTTAAAACATGCCTCCTCCTCCTCCTTCTCCTCTTCCTCCTCCTCCTCCTCCTCCTCCTCCTCCACCTCCTCATCCCGAACGGCATCTCGGAGCCCAGAGTTGCGAGGATGTCTCCAGCGTAACGGGCTGGAACACCTCGCGCGCGGCATCTCGGACCCCAGAATTGCGAAGATGTCTCGGGCGACACGTGCTGCGAGGAAGTCTCAGGCGAAACGGGCCGGACCACCTCGAGCGCGGCGTCTCAGATCTCCGAGTTGCGGGGGCCTCCTGGGGCCTCCTGGGGCCTCCTGGGGACCTCCTGGGGCTTCCTCCTGGGCCTCCTGTGGCCTCCTGGACCCCACCTGGGGCTTCCTGAAGCCTCTTGGGGCTCCCAGGGGGGGATATCTAACATGTGGCCGTCGGGGCCCCCCTAAAATGGGGGGGAGCAGGAAAAATCAACGAATCGACACTGGATGTGTATTAACTTGACACGTTCTGATCGGGGGTCTCCTGGGGCCTTCTGGGAGCCTCCTGGGAATCTCCTGCGGACCCCTGGGGCCTGTCCTGGGCGTCCTGCGGTTTCCAGAAGCTCTCTGGGGCCTCCTGGGGCTCCCAGAGTCCCAGGGGGGATATGTAACATGTGGTCTTCTGGGCCCCCAGGCTGGACCACTTCTTGCGCAGCATCGGGGAGCTCAGAGGTGCGAAAATGTCTTGTGCGAAACGGGCCGGACCAACTTGCGCACGGCATCTCAGATCTCAGAATTGCAAGGATGTCTCAGGCGAGACGGGCCGGAACAGCTCGCGCAGGGCATCTCAGAGCTCAGAAGTTCGAGGATGTCTCAGGCGGGCTCCCAGGGTCCCAGGGAGGATATGTAACATGTGGTCCTCTGGGCCGCCAGGCTGGACCACCTCTTGCGCGGCATCTGGGAGCTCAGAGGTGCGAAGATGTCTTGTGCGAAACCGGCCGGACCACCTTGCGCACGGCATCTCAAAGCTCAGAGTTGCGAGGATGTCTCAAGCGAGACGGGCCGGACCACCTCGCGCAGGGAGGGCATCTCAGAGCTCAGAAAGTCGAGGATGTCTCGGGCGAAACGGGCCGGACCACCTCTCGCGCGGCATCTCCGAGGTCAGAGTTTCGAGGATGTCTCAGGCGAAATGGGCCAGACCACCTCGCGCAAGGCATCTCAGAACTCAGAATTCTGAGGATGTCTCAGGCGAAACGGCCCGGACCACCTCTCGCACGGCACCTCGGGGCTCAGAGTTTCGAGGATGTCTCAAGCGAAACGGCCCGGACCACCTCTCGCGCGGCGCCCCGGAGCGCAACTTTTCGAGGATGTCTCAAGCGAAACGGCCAATCCTGGCCAACTCAGAAACGAAAGTTGTGAGGATGTCTCAAGCGAAACGGCCCGGACCATCAAATTTGTGTGAGGATGTCTCTGCTCCGATTTCCCTCGGCCGGAGTTAGCTTCTATCACAGCAGCACCCCGTTCAGCAAGCTGTTTGGGGAATAATTAAACATTGATAAATTGTATATTTTCCATGACCTTTCACGCACAGAATATTACGCTCAAAGTCCCGCGAGCCCGATATGGACGCCCATTCTTCAGCGAATGGTTCCTGTTTTTCTGTTTCTACGCACCTGGTTCCGAATGAACCAAACCGCACTGAAATCTCAACATAATCTGAACGCACTCAAAAAAAATAGCATTAAAAAATTGCGGGGGGTTGAAGGAGGAACCAAGACGAACAAAAAAACAATATTTTCATGCTGTAAATTTCCAGATCGTTCGGAAGCAGCACGGCTGGCCGAACGCCGGCTGGAGAGGCTATCAAAATGCGGCAAAACACCAGGGAGAAGCGGAAAGAAGAGGGGGGAAGAAAAGGAAGAAGCAGGGAGGGAGCGAGGAAGAGGAGCGGGAAGGCGCTGGACGCGCCGGGCGAGAAAAGCGCATGCGGACCGAGCACCGCTCAGAACCCGCACGGGGTGGAGGAGCCGAGGAGAAAAGGAAGACGGCGGAGAGAGGGAGGGCAAGGACGAGAAGGAAAGACTGAGATTTAATGGGAGGAAGCCAGTCCTTGCAGCTGTGCAGGCGGCGATGCACGAGCGGGACACGGCAGCTGAAGAGATCTGCCCAATCAGGGCCAGAGT